ATGAAAAAAGAATAAGAATATTTCGAAATTCCGAAATTACTTTCATTATAACAATATTAATTTACTATTAATAAGAATGTATGAAACACTCCATAAGGAAAACGTATGTAACAAGTAAATGTATAATTATAGAAAATAAATATCACGTGTAAATTGAAAATCAATTACAATTTTTATTTCGCATACATTATCTAATCTTCATATATAATGTATGAATTATATGATATGAAAGAGTATTTGATATATTTAAAGATATTTAATTTGGTACAGGTATGTTCCTTTTTGGTATAGTTAATGTAATATAGAAAAGAAGTATATATGTATATACATTGATAAATGATTGAAGAATCAAATGTTTTTTATAGTATCTCTAGTTTGTAATAAATATTTAAGCTTTTAATAAAATTTATATATATTTGTATTATTTTTTTATCAATAAAATCAACATTTGCATTTTCTAGTAATATTATAACCTTACTTTCATGCAAGTGTCATTTGAATTTCGTTAAAATGATGCAACAATATATGAAGGAATTGGAACAGGTAAATTATATATTTAACTAATAAATTTGAATTACTATTGATTCGTGTAGTTTTAATAATAATATTCTTTTAATGATATCTTTTTTCAGGACCCATTTGATCCTGAAGAATTTGTTGAAAGACTTGCTTGGAGAACGGTTAATGATACAACAAAAGACGATGGAAAAACATTTTTCGACCCAACAATAGTGCATGAAACGTTTTTACAAGCAATTAAAGACTTACAAATCCTACAGGAACGTCAGCAAAAAAAATGTGATAAACTTGAAACAGCATTAAAAGATGAAGAAGCAAAACATGTACTCGAAATACTTGAATTACAAGAAAGAAATAAACATTCTATTGATTTATTTCATCAACTAGATGAAAGAATAAATCTTGTGGCTACTAAAGTTTTACATTTAGGAGATCAGTTGGAAAGTGTTAATACCCCACGGGCTAGAGCTGTTGAAGCTCAAAAATTAATGAGACATTTTTCAGATTTTTTAAGTCCTGGACCTTTGACAGATCCTATCTTTACAGATAAGTCATCGGTACAAAAATCTGTTTTATGTATTTGATATTTGTAATTATATCATGAAACATAAAAATTAAAATTCTTTATTCTGTAACAGCTGGATGAAGCCGCAGATGTAATACAAAAACTTCATCTCATTTCACAAGAATTACCATCTGAGAAATTTGAACATGCTAAGAAAAAAATTGCTGTTAAATATGATGAAATTGAAAGAAATCTTATAGAAGAATTTGTTAGCGCACACAATAGAGAAGATGCTAATCGTATGAGAGAATTAGCATCGGTCTTAGCTCATTTTAAAGGATATTCCCAATGTATTGATGCATTTATAGAACAAAGCCAAATGGGTTCATTTGGTGGAAAAGATGTTTTTCAAGATGTAATACCTATGTGTACGAAGTATCATAAGTTAATGCAGCAAGTATTTACAAATCCTGAACAGGTTATGGCAAAATTTGTATTAAATATTTATCATTTAAGACTTCAGAAATATGCAGTTGCTAAATTAGCAGATAAAACTGATCCTGATAAATACCTTAGAAATTTATTTGACCTATATACTAGGACTGTGAAATTATCTACAGAATTAAAAATGTTTAATATGGGTACTGATGATACATATCTTGCTAAACTTACCAGAAATATATTTCAAAAATATTTGGATACATATATTGTGTAAGTTTACATAATAATTAACACATCTATAATAATTAAATATTAATCAACGCAATATTTTAGTATTGAAATAAAAGCATTGAGGGAAAAGTCAGCAACTCTTCTTATTGAATATTATGAGTCTAAAAATCATCAGAAGAAACAATTACAAAGTGGAGGATTTCAAGAGTTAAGAAGAGATTTACAAGCAGTTTTAGGTACAAGAACTAATATAAATATTGCACAGATAGAAAATTATGGTGGAGAAACCTTTCTATCAGAGGAACTTGCAATTGCTCTGTTACAAAGAAGTAAATTAGCATTTCAAAGATGTCAGTTACTATCAAAACCTGATGAAATATCACTAAATGCACTTCAAATTTTGGAGATACTATTACAATATTTAATAAGCGAACATGTTGATTATGCATTAGAATTAGGTTTACAAAGTGTACCAATTCCTGAAAGTAGAACTCAACCTGAGATACACTTTTTCAGTGTTGTGCGTCAATGCAATGCAATTGTACGCCTATTAGAAGAACAATTTAATGACAGTGTAATACCTCTTGTCATGTATGTTTTACTTCTTCTATTTTATATTTAGTTTTATTATGCAAATATATTTAGAATATAATTTTTTTTAGATCAACACCTAGGTATGGAGACTCCATGCTAAAGAAAAAAGTTGCATTAGATCAAATTGACATGAAACTAGAGACAGGATTAGATAGAAGTATAAATGCTATTATTGGTTGGGTAAAAGTGTACCTACAAAATGAACAACGAAAGACTGATTTTAAACCTGAAACTGATGTGGATACTTTAAGTACTTCAGCTTGTCTAACAGTAGTACAATATGTTACTGGAATGATACGACATATTCGAAGTACTTTAGATGGAAAAAATTTAAATAATGTTTTAACTGAACTTGGAGTACGATTTCATAAAGTTATTTATGATCACTTACAACAATTTCAATTTAATTCTGCTGGTGCTATGTGTGCAATATGCGATATGAACGAATATCGGAAATGTGTTAAGGAACTTGAAATTGACCTTGTTACTTCGTTATTTGATACTTTACATGCTTTATGTAATCTATTATTAGTTAAACCGGAAAATTTGAAACAAGTTTGTACAGGAGACCAATTGGTATGTTATAGTGATTTAATTATAAATTTAATGAAAGAATTTTTTAGATTAATGAAGATTAAAATAATTTTTTTTTCTTATTATTACAGGCAACATTAGACCGTAATGTTTTAGTGAATTTTATACAATTAAGAGCCGATTATAAAACACAGAAATTAGCAAACTGTCTAAAGGGTTTAGCCACATAATAAATTTGTCATCTGTATTCATAACTTTTGAAGTATATCATACACAGTATTTGAGCGTAACAATATATTCAGAATAATATTACTATGTAAATGAAACCTTAATAAGTAAAAATGTTGTTTTCATTGTAATAATAATGCCATGTTATCTGATCAATTGTATAAGATTTTGTTATAAAATATTATAGAGTCAAATTATATAAAAAGACTTCTTTCTCTTCTAAGTTTTAATTACATATGAGGAGGAAGATGAATAAATTTTTTTTCTTTCTTAATTTTATAATAAATGTTAAATATATATATATATATTTATAGCAAATGTATTAATTTTATTGGTATGTAAGATTGTCATAAACAATTGCAGTGTCTGCTATAAACATTTTTCTTATTTTAGCGGAAAATGGTATGTATAGGTAATAATTAACTAAAATCTATTAATTTCTTTTGTTTACATATGATCTCCAGTTGATTATTTTTTATATCAATTGATGTCAGACAATTATCTGCACGAAATTTCGTAATATATTTCGACATATTACATACCATTTTAATTAAAGTATATTTTCATACATTATACTAAATTCTGTACTTGATCTTTATAATGGTATATGAGAGTACCTTCTTTTAAATGTGTTCTTGCATATATGAGTCCATGTTTTAATTTTTAAACTCGAACTTAACAATAAATACAATATTTTATAATCAATAAGTATTAATATATATAAAAAAAAGGTTGAAACATAATATTTTAATGATTGATTTCTGTAAAATGAATTTAAAAGGTAGAATATAATGTATTAAAATTAATATTACAGTAAATAAAAAAAATTATTTATGTTTTGTTTATTTACATGCACATTTCAAACATATTGTATTATATTTTTAAAGTTATGATATGGATTAAAATTTTAATATTTTATAAAATAAACTACCAACATTGCAAGTACAGGATACACATTTATTTTCAAATTTGTTAGAAATTTAATCCATTTACTAATTTTCAAAATGTAGCTCAGTAATTTAGAAAAATGTTGAAAGTACATAAAATATAAAATTTTCATGTTTTATAAGCAGAATTAGTGATATAATTTCAAGTAATGTTTAGCTGTAGAAATTTTATGCACAATTAATTTATGTGAATATTGAACTTAATATTTACTAGTTATGTGTAATATTTTATCAAAGCATTGCAGAAATCTTCAATATTGTAGAAATTGTTATAATAACAATATTAGTAACATAAATGTTATGTATAAAAATTAAATTAGTATTAGTATTTGTTTTAAACAAATTAGTATATGTCACGAATATTACTGATATCAAGCATATTATAGAAAGGTATTGATAAAATGAAGAGGACTAACAATAAGCTTCAATTTACTATCAAATTAACAAAATATAATATTATAAATTTTCCATTTGTTGTACATAATATAAGTGAGCAGTTTCAAATTATTGTTTAGAATATAGTAATATATATAATCTACAGGCCATGAATTTGAAAAGAAGTTGTATTTTAAGAATACGGTACAAAAATGTGGTAAATACAAAGTATTATATTGTTTTAAACAAATTAATAAATTTATACAATATTAAATCAATAATGATTTAATAGCTCAAAATTATAAGTTACACACAAAACAAAGACAGAAAATTTACAATATGCAATACAAAATGGTCACAGAGAAAAATAAAAATATGAAACTATTACAGTATTCATACTTCTAATACACGCTTACACGAAGTAATATTTTGTAAATGTACACTATTTGTGATTATGTAATGTGTCAATCCTATTTTTCTTAATGGTAATCACCATATTGCAAATTCTTACTACATTAACAAAAATTCTGGACGTTATGTTAATTCTTAAGCAGGAAGCCTCTAACTTTCTTACAATTAAACGTTAAAAACATTTAAATAATTCACACCATTCATTGTACCGTACTATTAAACTTCATTAAATCATCTAATATAATTCAATGATAATTGAAGTCCTGGTTTCTATTTGATTATAATGTTATGAATCATGAAAATAAAAGGAAGAAGATGAACAATCTGATCAGCGCATACGATAAGTATTAGTTTCGTGTACTTGGCACAATTCTCCTTTGAAGTCCAGTTCAATGCTGAAATCCAGATCTCTGTAGTTCCTTGCATTGGGCTTCATTGAAAATACACCATATATTTCTTCTCCTTTCTTAACTGTCATATATTCATCAAAGTAGAATACAGTTTGTTTCCAATGAGTATACTGTACTTCTGGTGCTGTACTGAAGCCAATACGTTTATGGCACTTAGTGAATTCGATGTTGAAAAATGTAACTAGTGCTTGTACATAGTCATTTCTACGAACTTGTAGAGTAAATGGTGATGAAAATTCCAGATCAGCCTTAGTTACTGTATATAAATCAACTTCTTTAATGAGGCATGCATTTGTAACAACTTGTTTTGGGTCCACAACATCCACTAGAGGTTCACTAATTGCTACTTTTCTTATACTACTCATATCAAATCCATATACATCATCCCACCAATTTATCTTTTCATCCTTATATTGTCTATCTTCAATGCCACAAATAAATAGAGTTGCTTTATCAGGAAATAACATACCATCTTCACGAAGCCATTTATCTCTAGCAAAAAGCACTGTGTCTAACATTGATTCATAAAACAAACAATAACCCATCCATTCAGAAATAATTATGTCAACCTTTTCAATGCCATCAGGTAATGAGACCTCTTCAACTTTTCCTTTAAGTATTGTTATAACATTTGATAACTGATTTGCTTCCACAATTTTTTCTGCATATTCGACAATATTAGAACACTCAATACCAATAACTCTAGCTGCTCCAGCTTTAGCAGCAAACATTGAAAGTATACCAGTTCCACAACCAATATCAAGAACGGTTTTTCCTTTGAAAAGATGTTTATTGTGGTACATAGAATTACGATAAGTCACTGTACGCACTTCATCCTTTAGCATCTCTTCATGAATTCCATAATGTGCATATGAATCAAAATAATAATCTCGAGATGTCATATCATCCACAGAAATAGATTCCCTACAAGATGATGGTGTTGCATCTTTATTTGATGTAGGAATATTTTCTGTAACTTCCATAGATTCCATTTTTGATACCTGTAACAAAAAAAAAATTATTAATAATATATTATACTTTAATTATATCAATTTAACTTAATTACTTCAATATCATAAAAATTGGATAAAGATGTACTATAGATTAAAAAATGTATTTGTATAATATAAAACTTGTTATTTAAAACGAAATTATTTTCATTTAAAGTATAATTTTATAAAAAATATTAAAACTAACTGATTTACATATACATAAGAAAAAACCTACAATTATCTACAAACACGTGATATGAAGTCATTATCTCAAACTACAATATATAAATTTCTTTTCGCTTAAATGTAGTGAAAATTATTATTAAACATTAATTACAATATTGTTCATCAGTAACGGGAAACTCAAGATTTCAAAACGGTGAAGTCGTTGAATATACTTGTTTCAATCAACAGCAAAGGAACATACACGTGCCCGCCAAAACGAATGGCGTCTATTTAAGATCGAATGATCAGTCGAGATTCTTTACACTCACACACATTTCTACAACATCGTGTAACGAATAGTACTTACTTATACGGAATTGAATGCAGTCTAATTTTCATATAATAATATTGATAAATAAGTTTAAACAATTAAAAATTATTTTAAAGAATATGTTTAGAGAATTTATGGAAACAAGTATAAGGTAATCAATTTGTCTTTAAGATGCATAGCGAAAACTATTATGACAAACGACATTCAAACATTTTTCTCTTTTATAAGTTTGTGAAATATCATACATTATTTCCAACAATATTAGAACATCAGCAATATTATTGAAATGTTTCCTCTTCACTTTTATTAAAATATTTAACTAAAACCTACCGAATTCTCTGCTGTGCACATGCCACTCTGGTTGATTTCTACCGGCACTTCATTACTCGACGCCATTTTGTTCCGCGTCACAGCAGACGACCACGGGCAGGAACGTAGTATAAAGGCACATGGCAAATTCTAAATATGGTCCTGTCAACAAATATTCAAGTAGAAATTTATAAACATAATCTAATTTTTTAATTAATTTACTTTAAGTATATTATAATAATGTTTAATTCAAATTTACATACTATTTTAATTACTATTTAGTCTAATTTAGTTGCCATTGTTTGCAAATACAATTGAGAATTTGACTAACAATATTAATTTGTTACATAAAATATTAAATTTATCCATATTTTTAAAAATAATTGGTTTAATCTTTGGCTTCTAATACTTTAAATTATATTATCAAATTCTTTAAATGATAAAATATGTGTACCTATAATGTAATTAGTTTTATGTTTACGTGTACATTTACGTCAAAGGTTAAAATCACTATTATTAAATAATGTATAATATTATATTTTAATTAAAAATAATAAAAGTAATAAAAATTTGAAATATAAGGTTGTAATATTTTGTATGCATAATTACATAGGCTAATTAATTTACCATTTCTTATTGGTTTCACATGTAGTAGAATCGTATCAATCACCAATAGAATTGTTCTAAACGAAATTATATAACGCTTTAAACAAGCATCGTACAATTATTTTACGAAAATATCGATTTTGATACGATATTGTGTCTCATAAACAAATATTTTTATTATTGACAACCCACGTGATACGCACACATCAAATTTAATAACAAAACTACACAAATGTTTGTTGTTTGTATTAAGAATACAAGATCACCTCTCTTTAAATGCCTTAAAAGAAATGACCACCCAAATTTGTGCTGCTGTGAACACATTGATACGTTCCTGTCGTATGCGCAGTGCAGTCTTCATACTATTTCGATTTCTATGTTAAATAGATATTCATTTATTTTTATACCATAATGAAAAATTGTAACTTATTTACTTAATTATATATCTATTGAAATAATTAGTAATTTACCGACAAGACTATATCTTTAATTTGGTATCTTTGCTCGGTTGTTTTCAGAGAGTGCAAAGACATCGTCCAATAGGAGTTGAGTGGCTAGCTGACAAGTTGCGTCGGGGTGGAAATGGGCAGGGAACAGGAGCTTGTACGCATTCAGGCCGTGAAGTGTTGGTTTCGTGAAGGGATCAGGTTCTGTGTCTACGTGATTTTTTCTGTGTTATTACTTTCAACAATATAATGTAAATTCAATCTTAATGTTATACACGTGCCAGTGTCTTAAAATTATTTATATGGAGATCGTGGAGCGCTAGAAGATGCTGGTAAGGAAACAGGCGGGAGCAAAGTTGACGTAGAAACAAGTGCGCAAAGATTGTATAGTTGAGTTCTTTTTTCTGCCGTGTGTATTGAGAAAGTAAAATCCGTGCTTTTGTTATGTAGTTACAACGCTTTCGCAGGTCATTTACTTCGGACGAATGTCTCACCTAAAGTACCTTCGAGGTTACAACTATTACCTGATGTCTGAGAAATCGACAGGCTGTCACGAACGTAGTGGACTCCGTTTTGAAAACGTGGTTAAGATATCAAAGTATGAGTTTTATTTCAACGAAATATCTTCGTGCGAAAGTTCTTGTTTATCGTAGGACAATTTCGATTTAAAAATAATCTTCTGTACCTGCGAGGCATGACCGCCTACATAAACAATAGCTCATCATACGAGGCAGCTGGCGTTTTTATGCTAATTTTGATGTTTTTATTATCCGGATCCTCTCCTTAATTACAATTAACAAGAATTGTATACTTTTACAGCCAGATTAGATATTAGTTAGATATACCATGACAAGAACTAAAAGATGAAATAAAAAATAATAATTATCTTAAATTTTGTTAAATTGTTATTATTACTATAATTTTTTTTATTAAGATATTAAAATTTTGTTTTATATGTATACTTTTATCTTGAACAAAGATTGAGTGTATGATAACTATACAAAAATATGTCATGAGCAAGAGTTTCATGTACAAAATGATATATATTAAATGTATGTATATTTTCTGTTACAGGGAGACGATCCACCGTACCTTTCAGTGGGTACGGAGGTTAGTGCTAAATACAAGGGTGCCTTTTGTGAAGCAAAAATTCGAAAAGTAGTAAGATCAGTAAAATGCAGGGTAACTTATAAACAAGGTTTGGGTACTGCAACAGTAGCTGATGATCAAATAAAAGGAACTTTAAGAGTAGGTGCATCTGTTGAAGCTAAACACGGAGATAGAAAAGAATTTGTGGAGGCTACTATCACTAAAATCCAAGACTGTAGTCAATATACTGTAGTTTTTGACGATGGTGACATTACAACATTAAGAAGAACTGCACTTTGTCTGAAGAGTGGACGACATTTTGCAGAAAGTGAAACTTTGGACCAACTTCCTTTAACACATCCAGAACATTTTGGAAATCCAGTAATTGGTGGTAGAAGGGGGCGACGATCTAGACAAGCACAGTGAGTGTGATGAAATAATATTTGTAATATAATTTTATAAATTAATTTTAGTTCATATTTCTAAAAGTAATTCTTGTTATAGAGATGAAAGTAGTGATGATGAAGATAGTCCTCCTCGAGGAACTCGTGATTCAGGTTCTAGTGGTACAGGCAAGGAAGGAATGGAAACAGAGCCTGAAATTGGACGAGTTGTATGTGTGGAACTTGGAGACAAAAAGAAGAAAGATAATTGGTTTCCTGGATTAGTGGTTGCGCCAACTGCTCAAGATACAGTGAGAATTCGTGTGAGAGATGACTATCTTGTGCGCTCATTTAAGGATGCACGATAGTAAGTTCAAACTGTTCATATGTAAGCAAATTTCGTGAGAAATATAAATATATAAAGTTCGCATTTATGTTTGTGATAAATATATAAATAAAATAATATACAAAATTAATAGAATGTATTAAGTATACATATTCAAAGTAAATAGAAAAGTCTATAATAATAAATTTCCATTAAAATTTATTGACTTAGGATTGTAAGATTCCTAATTAATTTTTTTAAAATATAATGTACTATATTTATAAAATTTATTTAAATTATCATATTTTTATATATCTTGAATGTATTTTTTCATATTAATATAATTTCAATTACAAAATTGTATTTAAAATATATTTGTTAACAATTAATTGCACATTGATGTTTACTTAATTATTTTCTATTATATTACTATGTTATATTTTGCATATTTAGTTATACAGTTCCGAAGAAAGAGGCAACTGAATTTACAAAAGAACTTGTCAACAAAGTTGAGAATAGCACATTGAAGGTTGCAGTAGAAAAGGCATTGCTATTTTTAGAAAAGAATGAGTTACCTCCCCATTGGGATAGAGATTCTCTTTTTGGACATTCTGTATCAAGTGGAAATAGTGACTCAGATGGAGAACTTGATTCTGATGTAAAATTTCTTTTTTAATTACAATTATTAAAAAATTCAATTTATTACTTCATGTTATCAATACAATTTATTTTATTTTTCAGAGTTCTGATGATGAACCACGTGAAGAAAAAGATCATTTTGTGGCACAACTATATAAATTCATGGATGATCGTGGTACACCTATTAACAATTGTCCAATGATTGGTTCTGAGGATATAGATTTATATAGATTATTTCGAGCTGTCTACAAGTTAGGTGGTTATAATCGTGTAACAAATCAAAATCAATGGAAATTGATAACACGACGC